CAGGGGAGTCTCCCCCTCACATGCTCCGTGCATGCAGGGGAGTCCCCCCCTCACATGCTCCGTGCATGCAGGGGAGTCTCCTCCTCACATGCTCCGTGCATGCAGGGGAGTCTCCCTTCATGGGGAGCAGGGATTACACCCTCCCTGTTTTCCCCCCAGTTTCAGTGGTTCACCCCCCACCCCCCACCCCAAGAGAGGCGTGTATTGGGCAGCTCTGTGAGCAACCTGGTGTGACGAGGCTAAATGTTTTCGTGGCATGAAGCTCATTCGCCTGTGACATAATTTTAAAATCCATAAATTAGCCGCAGCGTTGTGTAAGCTGCGATGTTCAAAGTGTTTGAAAACAGAAAACAGTAGCGGCTCGTAGTCCAGAAATTACGGTATACGACTAATTATTTTAGTTTTGTGCTTTTATTCACCTAAAACTGTACTTACCTCACCTGAAACATTGTATTTCGCAATAAAAGTCCACATTTTAGTTTAAAATGTGTACATTACTTGCAGCATTTTATTAAAAATGAAACGTAGCAATACATGACATGGCCCTGTACCAGTACCCGGTACTTATTGAAAGGTACACGGTGATTACCCAATAGGTACCTGGTATTTTACCAGATATGTACACTGTACTTATTCTGTACGTATCTGATGTGTACAGCTACTTACCCAGTACATCCCCTGTACTTGCTCCGTGCATTCTGTGTACTTGCAGCGGTTTAGCCAGTACTTACCTGGTACATAATAGCAGGTACTCAGAGTGCATTCTGAGCTGTATCATGCATTGCCACTGAATAAAACTCAAATTTATTTCTTAAGTTTTTGTTGTTTTTTAATCTTAGACTAAAAACGTTCAGATGAGTGAAGCTCAGCATGTTTTTATTTGTGCATAAAAATCAAAACCTTTTCATTCCACAGATGTTTTTAACGAGAAACTTTTGTCTGATTTTTAATCTGCAGACATTAAATTATTATGGAGAACTTTTCAAAATGGTCAAATTTAATTTTAGCACTCGTCACGATCTGATTAAATAATATTTTTTACATAATTTGACCTGAAGAGGAAAAACAAATGAACTTCTGAGTGAAAAGGTTTTCTTTCTACATTTACTAATTACTCCTCTGCACTGAAACACCTTTAAGTTTGTTTTAATCATCATTTAACTTTTTTGTTCTTTGTTGGTTTTTGAATCAGTTTATCAGCTCTTGGTTCAGTTTCACCTGCGGGTAAACGAGTCTTTAAGGAGCCACAAACAGACCTCGGATCAGTTTCAGGCTCCACAGGGATTCCCTCCAGTGTGAGAGGAATCGGTTGGCAGAGACTTTACTGTTCGTTGTGTTGAAAGATGCGTTCAGGCACGGCTCTTTACAGAGCTCTTCGTTTTGGAACGGCTCGTGTGTTTGTTCCTGTTCAAGGTCCGCGGGTCATTTCAGAACCTGGGACCAGTTTGTGCCCAGAAAAAAGTATTATTGATGGTTTCAGAGAGAGTTCGGCTCGGAGCAGCGCCGGCTGCACCTTCCTTTGACTTCACTGTTGGACAGAAAACAAACGGTCACGCCCAACGAAGCCGTGCTGCCTGGAATCTACGGCTTCAACACGTTTTCAGTCAAAGTTCAAGAAAAACCACCGAGACTCCGCTTTACCAGCACCAACCTGCAGAACTGAACTTTAAAGGAGTTGGAGCAGAAAGATACATATCTTTAATTACACTGAACTAAGTGTTGGTAAATGAGACTTTGGCTTCGTTTCTGCTTCACTAAAACTCACGTTAAATAGTTTAAAAAGTCAAAACTGAAACTTCTGACCTTGTTGGCTTTTTGTGGTCTGATGCTGAAAATCTCAGGAGCTTCAAACACGAGCTGGACGTTTTGTTAATGTCTGTCTTTAATTTTGATCTCGTTGAAAATCTGTGACTGATTGAAGCTCAATTTAATTATGAATTGTACTGAATTAATTTTGTATTCAGTTTAATCACAAATTGTACTGAAATCATTTTATATTCACTTAAATCATGAATTGTACTGAATTCATTTTGTATTCAGTTTAATCACAAATTGTACTGAATTCATTTTGTATTCAGTTTAATCACAAATTGTACTGAATTCATTTTGTATTCAGTTTAATCACAAATTGTACTGAA